ATATATATATATATATATATATATATATAACTACATAGTATCTGACCCTGCCTAGGTAGCTGAGTTGGTTAGAGCATTGTCCGTGATACGCTAAGTTTGCGGGTTCAATCCCCAGTCAGGGCATATACAAGAATCAACCAATGGATGCATAAAAAAGTGGAACAACAAATTTCTGTATCCCTCTCCCCCTTCCTTTCTCTCTCTAAAATCAATCGATCAATAAAAAGCCATAGTATCTGCATGGAATTGACTAAGAGGAAGTTGGAAGTGCAAGATTAGTTTTCAGGAGAGGAGTCAGAGCTGGGGGAGAGATTTATAAATCATCTTCATAGAACTGATAGTCAAAAAATTGGAATGACTCTTAAGTTAAAGTTCAGAAAAAGCACAGAGTGTCTTCTCACCTGAGCCTTGAGCATACCACCTGGAAGGAGAGAGCCAACAGAGAGGGAGGGTAAAGTCAGGACAGGAGGCAATAATGGCAGGAGGCAATGCCGAGTTATGCAGAGAGGTACTGTGGCTCTGAGTCTCCTGCCATTAACAGTAGACCACTCTTCTGAGGTATTTGACATGAAAAAACAAGGGAAAGAATAGGGTAAGGCCTAGTGTTATGGAGAAAAAAATACCTTGTTTCTTTAATAGTTATTGAGCATCAAGAATGTGCAGTTTTGGGCACCAGCCATACATGAATGAACAAGACATTGTCTGTCTTCAAGGGGCTCTCACAGTTCATGACCTGAGTTTTCCAAAGTGAAGGATTGGAAACAAGCCACTATGGCATTTGTACCCTTCATGTTCATCATAACTCTAGATGAAGTTATAGGCTAGATATTTCCCTTCTTGCCACTGGATCCTTATTAAGTTACAAGTTTATATTCTTTGGAAAAAGTCAGCCATGCAATATTTATACTGATAATGCCTTACATTTATATAGTACTTCATACTTTTCAGTATGTTTTCATTTGTCACTTGAACAAAATTCAGTGTACTTAAGATTGTTATTACTACATTCTATGGATAAGAAGCTGAGGCATAGAGAACAGTTAAGATTAGAATTTTAGTTGCCCAACTTCTAATCAAACATTTCTTTCTATAAAGCATTATTCTCGGTATTATGAGGAGGAATAAAGATAGTGATAACAAAAGTTAGGTAGCGGTAGCTAGAAAAAGCTCCTGGCTGTTTTTCCATGTAAAAGTGATCAGTGTTTCTTGCTAGGGAAAAAAAAAAAAGGAAGCCATTGGGTCATATTTGGCCCTTAGCTTGGTTGTAGCTGAGCTGTGAGGTAATATCATCCTGGTCATGCCAGGGAGTATGATTTCTCACTACCCCAGAGCAGCCTGGCAGGGGTAGCTCAGCAGTTGAGCATCGACCTATGATCCAGATCGAGGTTCAATTCCTGATTCCGGGTCAGGGCACATGCACTCAGGTTGCACTCAGTCTCCAGCAGGGGACATGCAGGAGGCAGCCTATCAATGACTTTGTCATTATTGATGTTTCTATCTCTCTCTCTCTGAAATCAATAAAGATATATTTTTTTAAAAAATCTCTCAGCCCAGCCGGGCATGGCTCAGCTGTTGAGCGTCAGCCTAGGATCCAGGCAGTTGGGGTTCGATTCCCAGTCAGGGCACATGCCCGGGTTGCGGGCTCAATCAATGACTCTCTCATCATTGATGTTTCTCTCTCTCTCCCTCGCCTTTCTTCTCTCTGAAATCAGTAAAGACATATTTTTTAAAAAAAATCTCTCAGAGCAGTGTTTAGCACAGGGTATCGTGGAACTTATTATTCTGGTTAGTCCAAGGAAAGGAGTGTCTCCTTCATTGGTTAAAGCAGTTTCCATCTCTGCCCTATTTAGATTTTTGCTTATTTTCTCATTCCAACCTACCATTTTATAATACTGTATTTTAGTGTTTATTATGTTTACGTTTGCTGTTCTTAGTTTAAAAATTATTATTTTTTTTAATTCTCTCTTGAAAGATTCCTTATTTAGGCTAAAATACAGTTCTTCACTTTCCCTCTGGATCAATGACTTAAAAAGATTCTTTTTTTAAATTTTTATTTATTGATTCTAGAAAGAGAGAGAGAAAGAAGTGCCAATTTGCTCTTCTACTTATTTATGCATTCATGGGTTGATTCTTGTATGTGTCCTGATGGGGGATCGAACCCACAACTTTGGCATATGGGGCGATGCTCTAACCAATTGAGCTACTCAGCCAGGGCTGCACTATTTCTTCTTATCCATGGAAAGTGGTAATAACTGTCTTAAGTACACTGAATTTTTGTCAAGGTTCAAATGAAAAAGTACGGAGTATTATATAAACATAAGGCATTATCAGAATAAATATTGTGTGACTGACTTTTAAAAAATATTGTTTTATTCTCCCCGTGTTCTCCAGGCAGCACCGAGCTGACAGGCAGCACCAACCTGATCACACACTACAACCTGGAACATGCCTATAATAAGTTCTGTGGGAAGAAGGTGAAGGAGAAGCTGAGTAACTTCCTGCCTGACCTGCCGGGGATGATTGATCTGCCAGGTTCCCATGATAACAGCAGCCTCCGCTCCCTCATTGAGAAGCCCCCTATTCTTGGTGGCTCTTTCAATCCTATCACAGGGACCATGCTAGCTGGCTTCCGCCTCCACACCGGCCCGGTGAGTCCCCTCTTGGGGAGGAAGGAGGCAAACTGGGAGGCGTGAAAGGCATGGAGGTAGTTTTTCTGGCCAAGTCTGTTCCTTCCTAACTTACCAAGCAGAGCAGACAATGGGAGCAGGGCGTTTATTTGCTCCCCCCGCTCACCTGGGCCTTCCCTTGGATCCTTCAGTTGCCAGAGCAGTGTCGTCTGATGCATATCCAGCCTCCCAAGAAGAAGAATAAACACAAGCACAAACAGAGCCGTACCCAGGATCCCGTCCCCCCAGGTAAGCAGCGGTTTTGTTCGCAGCCAGAAAAGCTGATGTTCTGAGTCTGGTTCGACCGTCCTCAGTGGAACACACCAGGTAAGTTCCTTATGGAGCCCTGGACTCCCAGGTTCTCCTGAAAGAAGAAATGGATGTTCTGGGGTCTCCTGGGCAAGTAGGACCAGGGGACAGGGGCCTTAGCAGTACCTCTGGATCCTCTTTGGCCATTTGAACAGAAGCAGTTACCCTGACCAGGGGTTTCCCTGCAGCAGCAGGAGGGAGTTTTGAGCTCCTCAGTTGATAGGCGGGCGCCTGTCTCCAACAGAAACACCATCTGACTCAGATCACAAGAAGAAGAAGAAGAAGAAAGAGGAGGATCCCGAACGGAAGAGGAAGAAGAAGGAGAAGAAGAAAAAGAAGGTAAGGGAGGGGCTGGTGGCGCAGCCCAGTGAGTTTCCCTCGTGTCTCACCCGGGCCACCATCAAGTCCCGAGCCGCAGGTTGGACCCAGCATTGAAAGCCCATTGAGAACAGGCGGGTTGTATGGTTCTTCTATACAGCCCTGGTCAAGGCCAGAGCTAGTTCCTAGTTGTTCTTGTACCCCTCCTTTGTCTCCCCCAGAACCGACACAGTCCAGACCACCCAGGTATGGGCAGTTCTCAGGCCAGCAGCAGCAGCAGCCTCCGCTAACAGACCACTGGACTCTGCCAGAATGACTTTTCCTGCTGTACTGAACCTGCTGTCAAAGACTGCCTTCCTGGCTCTTGGACACTGCCTTAAGAGCATCCCCTGCGGCTGGAACAGAAGCAGGCCTGCTGTGCTCAGTTAAGAGGAATGCATTATGAGAAAGAGCCATGCTTTTGTAAGGCTCAGTCCAGCTTTCTCATGGACATCTCTTCCTCTCCCAGGAAGCTTTCTTTTCATCTCTTTTGTGCAGTTTGTCTGATTTATGACCTTATCTGATTTGTTAGGGTTTTTCTTTAAAAAAAAAAAATTTTTTGCATTTATCAAACTTGAAGTATGGCTGCCTGTTAAGAGGTAAGTGCCTTTCTGTGAGTCAGGATTTAAGCCAAGGCA